GGGTCATGGAAGAAAGGAGAAAGAAATTTACAGATTTCCAGGGTTCAATGAAAATTAAAACACAACCAAAAAACTTATAGGCAGTCCCAAGAAGAAACTTTATAGCTGTAAGTGCCTACATTAAGAAATCAGAGCAATCTTGGGTCTGGGCATGGTGGTAGGCATCTGTAACCCCCAGAGGCAGGGGAAGAGAGAGGTAGTTCTCAAGCCACAAGAAGTGAGCTCCAGGTTCCGTGAGAGATGCTGTTACAAAAAATATGGTGGGGCCAGCAAGATAGCTCAGCAGGCAAAAGTGCTTGCTGCAACTTGAGTTAAGATTCCCAGAACCCACATAGTGAAAGCAGAGAACCCCCAATGCAAGCTGTCCTCTGACCTCAGCATGTGCACTGCGGCATACATGCACATATAGCAGTACATGTAAGCACACACATTCTCACTAAGTGCTATTAAAAAGAAATAAGGTGGCTGGAGGTGCTTAGAGTGCTTCTATCTTTCTCTTCTGGATTCTGGCCAAAAGCCTAGGCATCCTTTCCCTGACACTCTGGGCTTTCTCTTTCTTTAAAGCCTCTTACCCTGGAATTCAAGGCCCTGTTCTGACCTCCATGGGCATTGTACAACTTGGGTGCACTTACATACATGCAGGCAATACACTCATAAAGTTCACAAAAGAAAAAAAAGCCTCTCTCCGTCCCTTTCCATCATGCAGCGGATAGCAGACCTCCATTACCAAATATGTGGGCTTTCTCTTCCTCTTCTCCATTTCCTTCCTCCCCACAAACTCTTAAAAAAAAGTCATTGAGGAAGACATCCTGAGGTGAACTTCTGGCTTCTTCTACATGTGCCTGCATGGACAAGTATGTCTGTTTGCATACATGCTTGCGCGTGCGCGCACGCGCGCACACATACACACACACACACACACACACACAACACACACACACACTTATAAACACATGCTCACAAAAACCAAAGCGGTCTCAAACTATTCTATTAAACAGGGAAGGAGAGCACCAAACATTTTTATGCAGCCAGTACTACCCCAATACTAAAACCAGACAGAGACAACAAAAAGGAAAATTATACACCAAAAATTCTCAATAAGATAATTGCAAATAAAACTCAAACAACGCAGCCGGCCGTGGTGGCTCATGCCTGTAGTCCCAGCACTTGGGAGGCAGAGGCAGGCAGATCTCTATGAGTTCAAGGCCACCCTGGTCTACATAGTGAGTTCCAGGACAGCTAGGGCTACAGGGAGACCCTGCTTCAAAAAGAAAAAGAAAAACAAAAACCTCAAAGAACACATAAGAATGATTCACCACATTCAAGCTGGCCTTTTCCAGGAATGCTTCCACACATGCAAATCAATAAATTCAATACATCATATATATGAATACCAAGGACAGGGATCACAGATCATCTCAATTGATGCAGATGGTTTTCATAAAATCCAACATCCCCTCATGAAAAAAGTCCCAAAGAAACTAGGAGTCAAAGCACATGAGCTCAGCATCCATTCCTATTCACTACAGTGCTGAGTCTTAGCTCCAACAATAAGCACTAGAAGCAACGAAGAGGAGGAGGTGAAGCTATTCCATCTGCAGGGCCGCCCACCATTCTGTGTGTAGATCAAGACCCTGGAGAAAACTCTCAGAAGAAATCAGGAGACAATCCCATTCATAACTGCCTAAAAGATAAAAACAAACACCCTGCTGACAACCCCCACCCCCACAAAGGAATAATCTTGGAATAAACCTAACCAAGGATGTGAAAAACTGCATGCTCACAGATGGGAAAAACTAATACTGTTAAAATGGCTGTCTTACCAAGAACAATCTATAGATCAGCGCAATCCCAACCAAAATGCCAATGCATTCTTCACAAAAATGGAAAAACATTAGTAAGATTCATTTGGAAATATGCATAACCTCAAAGACTAGGCTGTAGAAATCACCATACTCAATTTCAAATTGTAATGCAGAACCATAGTAACAAAACATCATGGTACCAGCACTAAAACAGACCATAGATCAATAGAATGGAATAGAAAATTAGATATAAACCCTTACGGTGACAGGCATCTGACTTTTGACAAAAAGATAGCAAAAATACATACTGGAGAAAAGTCACCTCTTTTTTAAAAAAACTTTTAAAAAATTTTATTTTTAAAAAATATTTCTATTTATTATTTTTATGTGTATGAGTGTATTGCCTGCATGTAAGTAAGTGCACCCACGTTGTGCAGTGCAACAGAGGTCAGAAGAGCATTTCAGATTCCCCTGGAACTGGAGTTAAGGACGATTTGTAGCTGCCATGTGGGTGCTGGGATTCGAACTCGGGTCCTCTGCAAGAGCAGTCAGTGCTCTTAACCACAGAGCTATCTCTCCAGCCCTATTTTTTTTTTTTTGAATTTTATGTGTACAAGTGTATTGCCTGCATGTAGGTAAGTGTACCCGTGTTGTGCAATGCCCGCGAAGGTTAGAAGAGGCTGTCAGATCCCCTGGGACTGGAGTTACGGACAGTTGTTAGCTGCCATGTGGGTGCTGGGATTCAAACCCGGGTCTTCTGCAAGAACAACCAGTGTTCTTAACCGCTGAGCCATATCTCCAGCCCCCAAAAGTCATCTCTTTAGTTAACAAATGGTGCTGTAAAAACAGAATATTCACAGGGGCTTGAGAGATGGCTTAGCAGTTAAGAGCACTTGTAGAGGATCCAGGTTTGATTCCCAGCACCCACATGGCAGCTAACAACCATCAGTAATTGTAGTTCCAGGAAATCTGATGCCCTCTTCTGACTGCCTCAGGCACTGCATGATACAGGTGTATACACACACACACACACACACACACACACACACACGAAATACATTCATACATGTAAGAAAAAAATTAGAAAAAAAAAAGACCCGAAACTTGGAAACAGGAAAAATTAGGGAAAATACTTCAAGATCGCTATAGGCACAGTTTTGAAAGAACTTTCTCCTTGTTAAATTAGCGAGGCACAGTGGTCTTTAGTCCCAGCACTTGGGAAGCAGAGGCAGGTGGATCTCCGTGAGTTCAAAGCCAGCCTGGTCTACATAGTGAGTTCCAGGACAGCTGGGGTTACAGGAGACTCTGTCTCAAAGAAAAGGCCGAGCATGTTGGATCCCCCCCAGAACTGGAGTTATGGATGGTTGTTAGCCACCATTTGGGTGCTGGGAATTGAACCTGGATCTTCTCCAAGAGTAGCCAGTACTTCTAACTGCTATGCTTTGAAAAGAACTTTCTAAATAGGATCTCAGTCCCCTAGGAAAAAAGGCTAAATGACACATGGGATCTCAGGAAATCGAAAAGCTTCTTTGTAGCAAAGAAAAATCTTTGTCAGTTACACATCTGAGAGAGAATATCTAGAATACATAAAGAATTAAAAAATTAAGTAAGAAATCAATCAACCCAATCAGTAAGTGGGCTAATGAAATGGAATGGACAGGGGGCTGGGGATACAGCTCAGTTGGTAGAGTACTTGCCTAGCATGCATGAAGCCCTGGGCTTGATGATCTCCAGCACCATTATATGTGGTGACATCACCTGTACTCCTAGTAGTCAGGAAGTGGACACAGAAGGATCAGAAACTCAAAGCCATCATTGGTGCTACATAGCAAGTTTGAAGCCAACCTTGGCTTGATGAGATTGTCTCAAAAAGAACAAGCAAGATGGTTTAGCAAATAAAGGCGTTTGCCACTAAGCCTGATACCTTGAGTTTGATCCCTGGAACCCACATGGTGGGAGGACAAAACTGATGCCCTACAATTTGTCTTCTGATCAACATGTGTGCTGTGACATGTGTATGCCCCACTGTAAGTAAATAAATGTAAAACAAACAAAAAGCAGTTTTCAAGAGGAAATACAAACCAACGTAATATGAGAAAACAAGTCCAACCTAACTGGCCGTCAGAAATGCAGACCAAAACTACACCCACCTTCTATCTTGGTCCAGTCAGAATGTCAGCCATTAAGGAAACAACAAATGCCAGTGTGGATGAGGACTACAGGGGATCCTTACACATTTACAGTGGGAATTCAAGTTAGTTTATCTTCTGTGGCAATCAGTTCAGTATGGAGGTATCTCACAAAAAATGGAAATAGATCTACTATACGATCCAGCTGTAGTACTCCTGGGTATTTATCTAAGGGCACTAATCACAGAGATACTGCCACATCAGTGTTTACCGAAGCACTATTCACAATAGTTACGGAACCAACCTATGTGTCAGAATGTAAGAGTGGACAAGGAAAAAGTGGTGCACACAAACACACATACACAATGGACTTTTTTTTCAGCCATAAAGAATGAATTTGTGGGGGCAGGAGAGATGCATCAGTGGTTAAGAGCACTTGCTGTTCTTGAAGATCTGGGCTCAAATCCCAGCACCCACATGGCAGCTAATAACCATCTATAACTCCAGTTCCAAGGGATAGGATGCCCTCTTCTGCCTTCAGTGTGCACTGCATGACACAGGTGCACTTAAAAGAGTCAGGCATAACACTCATATGTGTAAAAGAAAAATAAATAAAAATTAAAGAATGAATTTGCATTGTTTGCGGGAAAATAGATGCAACTGGAGATTGTACCTCCAGTTCAGACAATTCAGACAGTATCAGAAAAGATAAATATAGCAGTTATGCTCATTTGTGGTCCCTAGATTTTACATAGTCATGCACGCACAGATTAAATCAATTAGAAGTGAACCGACGAATGAAGGAGATGAAATGGAGGGTAGAAAAAAACAGGGTGAGAGGGAGAGAATGTGCTCAACATACAATATATACTTGTAAGAGGACTTAAAAAAAAAAAAATCAGAGAAAGGGTCTTCATATATTATCTGAACTGGACCCAAATTCCTGGGCTCAAGTAGTCCTTCTGTCTCAGTCCTGTGTACTTGGGACTATAGGCACCACCACAGCACAACACATAAGTTTTACAATATAGGGCTTAAATGAGAGATTGCTGCCAGAGTTACTTACTTCAACCACTCCTTGATGGGATCAAGAGAGGCTACGGGAATGGCATTGATCATCGTAACTTTCTTGCTGTAGTCCTTGTAGACGATTACCATATCAAAGTTCTTCAGGTGAAACTGGACCCTCTCAAAATGGATCAGCTCCACTTCATCCAACGTCACCACAAAAGGTGGCTGTCAGACAGGAGCTGGATCATTATCATGTAAATACCTCCCTCCAAACACTAGTATTTTCTGTTTTTATAGTCTTTTGAGACAGTATCTCCTTGTAGGACCAGCTGACCTGGAACTCACTATGTAGAGCAGGTTGGCCTTGAACTCAGAGACCTGCCTGCCTCTGCCTCCTGATACTGTGCCACCACGCCCAGCCTGAGAAAAGTTTTTTACAAAAGATGAAAACAGCCAGGCGTGGTGGCACACACCTTTAATCCAAGCACTCGGGAGGCAGAGGCAGGCGGATCTCTGTGAGTTCAAGGCCAGCCTGGTCTACATAGTGAGTTCCAGGACAGCTGGGGCTACAAGGAGACCCTGTCTCAAAAAGACCAAAAACAAACAAACAAACAAAACCCCAAAAAAACCAAAAAGAAAAAAATCAAAAACCAAAAGATGAAAACAATGTGACATTAAGAACTCCCGGTGTTTTTCTCAAGCAGAATAAATTCAAGGAATCAGCAATGAAAACTATTCCTTTTTATTTTTACTGACACAGAGTCTCATTATGTAGCCCTGGCTGGCCTGGTGTGCTGGATAGCTTTAGTGTCAACTTGACACACCTGGGTTGAGGGAACCTCCATTGGGGAATTTCCTCTATTGGACTGGCCTGTGGCCATGTCTGTGGGGCATTTTCTTGATTGTTGAGTGATGTGGGAGGACCCAGCCCACTGTAGGTGGTGCCACCCCTGGGCAGGTGGGCCTGTATTGCATAAGAGAGCAAGCTGAGCAGGGGCCAGGGGAGCAAGCCAGTAAGCAGCATTCCCCCATGGCTTGTGCTCCAGCTCCTGCTTCCAGGTTCCTGCCCTGAGTTCTTACCTTGGGCTCCCTGATGAACTGCGACCTGGGAGATGTAAGACAAACCCTTTCCTCCCCAAGTTGGTATTGGTCAGAACATTTTGTCACAGCAATGAAGAAACAAACTAAGACACCTGGAATTAGCTATGTAGAGCAGGCTGACCTCAAACTCACAGATAACCACCTGCCTCTTCCTCCTGAGTGCTGGACTAAAGGAGTACATTACCACATCCAGCAAAGGAACCATTTTTAAAAACTAAAGAAACTTTTTTTTGGTTTTCTGAGACAGTGTCTCCCTGTAGCCCCAGGCTGGCCTCAATCTTAAGAGACCTGCCTGCCTCTGTGTCCTGAGTACAGGTACCACTATGCCTGGCCGAAAAAGACCTTTTTCTTTCTCTTTCTCTCTCTCTTTTCTCTTTCTTTCTTTCTTCTTTTCTTTCACTATTTTATTATTTTTATTTTATGTATATGCATGTATTGCCTGTATGTAGGTAAGTGCAACCGTGTTGTGCAATGCCTGAGGACGACAGAAGAGACTGTCGGATCCCCTGGAACTGGAGTTACAGTTGTTTGCTGCCATGTGGGTTCTAGGATTTGAACCTGGGTCTTCTGCAAGAACAGTCAGCGTTCTTAAGCACTGAGCTATCTCTCCAGCCCCCAAAAGAGACTTCTGAAGAATCATATGTTTAATGACTTTTAAATATAAGTATCAAAAACTGAAAATCAGAACAGTTAGGATCAAAGGAACTTTCCTCCAACTTTCTTTTCTCTAATAATTCTGTTATTAGAGAGCAGACTATGGGTTCAATCTCTAATTGTGGGGTAGGAGGAAAAGTAAGAGGAGACCAGGAAATTAACAAGATATTTACCCATTCTGTAGCATTTACCAGTGCACTACTAGTGGGCTGAAGAAGGCAGGTACTCCTATAGGGAGCCCCATTAAATCTGAAAGAGAACAAGAGAAAACACCCAACAGTCAACTTAATCATAAAAGAAAATGCTGCTGCTGCAATACAGACACATCTTCCCTCCACCCAAGCCAAACACGGCTCCTGGGGAAATCTCTTAGACTTAGCTAACTTAGGAAAACCCTTTAAAATTTTCAAAGATTTTTATGATTTTAAATCATGTGTAGGTGAGTGTCTGTGTGAGGGTATATGTGCACTTGAGTGCTGGTGGCCTTGGAGGCCAGAGACATCTAAACCCCCGGGAGCTGGAGTACATGAAGCTCTGAGTTGCCTGACATAGGTGCTGAGAATTGAACTTGGGTTCTCTGCAAGGGCAGTATGTACTCTTAACTGCTGAGCTGTCTCCCCTTCAACTTTTTGCTTGCTGGATGGTGTTTTGGAAACAAGGGTCTATGTAGCTGGGGGTGGACCTGAAACTCGCTTTGTAGAACAGGCTGGTGTCGAACTCACAGAAAGCCATTCCCATCTCTGTCTCCTAAGTGATGGGACTACAGGCGCACACTACCACGCCTAGCCTTTGTTTTTTAGAGACACAATCTCACTATGTAGCCCCAGCTAGCCTGGAATTTGCTATGTAGACCATCTCATGTTCACCTCAATCTCAGAGATCCAGATGCCTCTGTCTCCCAAGTGCTGGGATTAAAGGCACACCACCACACCTGGTGCGTATCCTTAAACTTTTTGAGAATGTACATCTCAAAGGTATCAATCAGAGGAAAAAGAAAGGATATGGGGACTGGAGAGATGGTTCAGAGGTTAATAGCACTGGCTGCTTTTGCAGAGGACTCAGATTTAGTTCTCAGTACTCATGTGGTGGCTAACAACCACCCACTGACTCCAGTTCCATGGGATCTCACACTCTCTTCTGGCCTCTGTAGGCACTGCATGACTTGGGTGCACTTATATGCATGTGGGCAAAACACTCAAACACAATAAAAGTAAGTTAAAAGAAAGGATACAATATATTTCATAAGAACAATCCATTTTCCTAAAAGCCAGAGAAAAGAAACTTCGTTACAAAAAGATGAAATATATTACCCCAAGTCCCTAAAAGGCACTTCAAATTCCAGTTCTTCCTTTGTTAGAGCCTCTACTTTTTCAATGAAATTTTTAAAGGCTGTTTTCAATTTGTGCCTCATTTCTCGTTCCATCTGTAGAGAAAAAAAAATGTTATCTATAGCTGTCATTTGACTTGTTAATGGCGTCTCCCCTCAAAATGTCTAAAGCTGAGGTTGTTTTTAATTTTCCTTATTGTAACATAAAGCACTAGCATTTACCTTATTTAAGGCTCATCTTATTGCGTGGAGGTGGATCTATAACCTACATCTAACTGATAAGCTATTACATGGAATCACCTGAGCAGATTTTTAAGTTGTATGGCATGGATTTAGGAGCACAAAATACAGTTAATTCGTCACCTGATTCAGACCTTGTCCTACCTCATCACCCTGTAAACATGACTCTAGTTTCTCAGACCTGCTCAGCATAGAGGTCGTCTCGGTCATGCATGTGCTGATGTTTCCCCAAATCTGTAGTGATCTCTCCAACTTCTGTGTAGAACTGTACATCTGTGTGCCGCTTCTTCCCAAACATAATGGCGTTCTAATGACACAAACCAGAGAGCGAGAAAGTCAGAAGACTTAGGTCACCTAACTACAGACAGGCAAGATATAAGAAACTAAGTATGTAAACATGAAAATATTCATGCTGTGCTACATTTATTTTATTATTTCATATTTTTATTTTATGAATGTATTGCCTGCATGTATGTGAGTGCACACATGTCATGCAATGCCATGGAGGTCAGAAGAGGGCTTCAGATTCCCCCGGAACGGGAGTTAAGGACGGTTCGTAGCCGCCATGTGGGTGCTGGGAATCGAATCCGGGTCCTCTGCAAGAGCAGTCAGTGCTCTTAACCGCTGAGCCATCTCTCCAGCCCCTGTGCTACATTTCTTAAGGAAAATGAGTTCACTGGTGCAATAGTGTTGTGGAGTTAACCCACTTACTGATTGGAAGTGAGGTCCACACCACAGGAGGGAATTCATGGCTGTTATTTTGTCAAAAGTCAGGGGCCAGGGAGCTCATATACCCTTGTGAGGGACTTCAGCTGCTGCTGTGCTAATGAGACATAAGATGCTTATCGAATTGTCTTCTTCTAAATAATTATGCTCACCCCTGTGGATTAGTGCTGCTGTCAGCTTTGGTCAGAGAAATTTCTTTTAGCAGTGGTTAACTACGGAGACTCAGAAGTGGTCAAAATGTTGAGAATGCTTAGTCATAGCTATGACACTTATATCACCCCCTCAGAGGTCAGAAACAGTGTACCAGCTGGAGGATGGTGGAGTGTCACACAACTGTCCTCTTGGCATGACATGGCCATTGCGTTCATGGCCCATAGCAGCTGTGACTGTGTGTGCAAGACTGGGCCCGTCAGCATCCTGTCATGAAGGAAGACTGCTGACGAGGGAAGAGACATTTTCCTCAGTGGTGTAGCCACTCACCACGAGCCCAGGTTCCTGCAAATACTCTCTCAACTGTGTTCCTGTAAGCAACCCTAATGGAAGTCATTGGGTCACAGAAAATAAACAAAACAAAATAACCCCCCAAACACCAAAGTAGAAGTGTGCTATTGGAAAAAGGATCAGCAGGAGCTGGACAAGATGAGGGGTAAATGTGCTCAAGATTCATTAGATACATGGTATAAAAATGCCATACTCAAACTTGATATTATGTGTGATAAACACATGAATAAAAAATCCATACTGAAAATGGCCGTGCTCTAGAAGAGCACTGGCTGTTTTCCAGAGGACCTGGGTTTGATTCCCAGCACCCACATGGTGCCTACAACCACCTGTAACTCCAGTCCCAGGGCAAATCGATCCTCTTTTGACTTCCATGGATATTGCATGACATGGGTGCACTTACACACATGCAGGCAATACACTCATACACACAAAATAAAATAAAATATTAAAAAGAAAAAAAGTTTCGCCTAAGGGAAAAGGTTTCTAAGCAACAGGAATTTGGAGATCTTGTGTATTGTGATGGTCATACATCACATGACAAATACACTCAGCACGTTCTAGATGCCACTCACTGTGAATTTTATAAACAGACTGTTCAAACCTCTTCAATGATTTCATGTGGCAAGTGATCTTTCCATAATTATTTGATATGACATAAGATGAGAAAGGTCTTTGCCCAGTGCCCACCGTCTCAGCTGGCGGAGGCAGGGCATACCTTGAGGTGAAAGTGCAGGACAATAATCATCTCTCCGTCACAAGGCTGGAACAAGGCATGCTTAATATTATTGTACAAAATATCCACTTTATCTCCTCGAACAGATGTGAAGCGGAAACCTGGGGAAAAGAGCAAAGCAGACAGGTGCAAAGCAGTATCATCAGGCTGCGCCAAAGACAGCTTATCTCTTCTAAGTGCTATGAGCAGGCCCGGAGGCTTCTCTTCCCTCTGGCTATCCAGTTATGTAAGGAGACTCCTCCCAGGACTTCTGTCATGTTGTATGTTCTGAAGATATACATAGTTCAGGTACATGAGAGATCACTCATACATACCATTGACGTGGGCCTCCAGTGAGCCTTGCATCCTCTTTTGAGCAATGTTTGGACGGATGTATAGATCTTTCAGTTTGGGATTGCTCCGGTTTAGATTGATCACCAGTGAGTCTTGTTTCACAATTCCCTAAACCGTTAAAAAATGTTAATGCTCACGTAACCTCACACGAGCTCCCAAACATCCGATGACGTGCTTTGTCTGTTCAGACTCACCTCCTTTTCTTTCTCTTCAGCTTCTCGGGTCTTGTAACGTTTCTGTACTTCTTTTATAATTCGGAAAGCATTCTGAAGATTTAAGGCCGGTACTGTCTGTTCTCCAGGTGCCTTCATATTTGAAGCACGATAGGTACTGTAAAGGAGGGAAATAATTTATAGACGTTCATCAGGCAGGTAACTTGCATTTTTTACTATAGTTTATAACTGGTTTAATCTATTTTGTGTGCGTGTTCATGAGAGGCCATGCACACACTTGAGCGTGAATGTGGAGCCCAGAGGTCTGATAACTTCCTTAATCATTCTCCACCTTTTAAAATATTTATTATTTTGTGTATGCATTTATTGCCTGCATGTAGGTAAGTACACCCGTGTCGTGCAATGCCCACAGAGGACAGAAGAGGCCGTCGGATCCCCTGGAACTGGAGTTAGGGACAGTTAGCTGTCAGTGCTGGGATTCGAACCTGGGTCTTCCGTAAGAACAGTGTTCTTATCTGCTGAGCCATCGCTCTAGCCCTCTCCACCTTTTTAAACACAGGTTTTCTCACTGAACTCGAAGCTCATGGATTTAGCTATACTGGATGGTCAGCAGGATCTGGGTTTCCTCCTGTCTCCACCTTCCCAATGCTGGGATTATTGGTAGTAGCTGCTGCACCTGGTTTTGTTAATTTGTGGGTGCTGAGCTTAGGTCCTCTTGCACAACAAGCACTTTACCAGCAGTCTCTCTCTTTTAAAAACCATCTCTTTGAGCTGGGCGTGGAGGCACATACCTTTAATCCCAGCAGCACTCGGGGGGCAGAGGCAGACAGATCTCTGTGAGTTCAAGGCTAGCCTGGTCTACATAGTGAGTTCCAGGAGAGCTGGGGCTACAGGGAGACCCTGTCTCAAAAAAGACAAAACCCCAAAAAACCACATCTCTTTGAATGTGCTATCATGCCCAGCTGGCTTAATGTGTTCTACAAGAAATAGTATTAAATGTGGGAATATACAGAAATCAGAAAAAAAAAATCTTTAAAAATGGAATATATAAATAGGTAATCTACTGGAATAGGGAAATTCACACCTATTTTTCAATTGTGGCATAACATCTTCCAATTATTCCATCCCATTCCATGACAGAATAGAATCAAGTTTTGGGCACAAATTTTTTCTTCCTTTTGAGACAGGTCTTGCCTGGAATGCACTCTGTAGCCCATGCTGGCCTTGAACTCACAATTCTCTTGCCTCAGTTCCTTGAATGTGGAATTCAAGCTGTTCACATATTTTCATTTGAGGATTCTATCACAAAATAATGTGTGGTGAGTATAATATGTCCTTAAGAATTCTTTTTTTGTTTTGTTTTGTTTTTTTGAGACAAGGTCTCCCTGTTGCCCTAGGTGGCCTCGATCTCATAGAGATCTACCTCCTTATATTTGCGACCAGTTTAAAGTCAAAATATAATAAAGTTAGCAGAGTCCTCCAACAAGTGCCAATAGGAGAAAGAACAAGGCTGGGATCACCACTCCAGCTGGCAAGGATCGGGGATGGGTGTTTCACGGGGACTCACATTTCCTTGACGAAAGTGGCTTCGGGGTTTGGAAAGATGTTGCCCTCATTCCTGCCCAGAGCACTGCCTGGACAATAGAAGTTGATTCGCAAGTAAGTATAATCTCCTTCCACAGACATACTTATATTCTGTTCAAAGAAAGAGAGAGAGAAAAAAAACATGTTTGCTTCCTAGATTATAGAGAAGCTAAATTTAAGTCGGCAGTTATGAGTTTAAGGGCTGCAGATAAAGCTCAGGGGCAGACTGCTTATTTAGCATGCTCAAGGCTCTGGGTTCAAAGCTAGTAGCAGCAGCAGCAGCACCACCACCACCACTGCCAAAAGAGCCAAGTTTACTGCTTTTTAGACTTTATAAAATTATAAGGCTGAGAAGATGGCTCAGTTGGTAAAGTGCCTGCTGCACAAATACAAGGAACCAAGCACCTATGTGCTGTGTGGTAGTGCACATTTGTAACCCTACGGCTGAGGGGTGGGAAGGCAGGGGCATTCCTAGAGCTCAACAGCCAGTCACTTTATTCAGTCAGTGAGCTCCAGGCTCAGTGAGACCCTGTCTCGAGAGTAAGAGCAGTTGGAGAGCTAATGGGTTGTCAGGGCAGACACAACCAGGATTTAAAACAAACTTTAGGGATGACACTCGATGCAGTGACTCTTAGTACCTTGATTGTGGCAATATGGAAAGGTGTTGCAATGCCGAACACTGGCATTATTACTGTCTCATATTTCTTATCAATATAGATCTTCATTTCCCGAATATGTGGTTCCTTAGGCATCAGAGATGGGTTTTTATAGGACACATTAGATTTCCGAGCTCTGGAGTGGGATAAAAAACAAAACACAGACATTTCTGGAGTCACACATAATCTGAGGACAACTCACTGCTCAGCGTAAACTTACTTCTGAATCTGCTGCTCCCCCTTCTGCTCAGTCAGCCGCCGCTTTGCTTCCTCATTGAGCTGAGCAGCTAGCTCCTTCTGGTGAGCTCTCCTCTTCTCTTCTGCAGTCATCTCATTCTAGCAAAGGGAGGATCCAGGTTAGAGCATGCCGGTCATGACAGGACCTCAGCGCAATTCTGTTTTTGTCAGGGTCTCACAATGTAGTCATGGCTGGTCTGGAACTTGCTACATGGTCCTAGCTGGACCTCAACTGGTAATTCTCTTGTTTCAGCCAGCTGAGTGCTAGAATCAATCATAGATGTACTTCACCACAGCCAAATACAAGATCAATGTCATCTAAACCAGCAACTCACTCGTGTTCTTTCCGTAAGTAATGCTGCCCTAGAACCTCTTCCTAAAAGGTCCTCTGCCTCATCTTTCTCTTCTTCCTCCTCTTCATCATCTTCATTCTGTGGGAAAAGGTGTAATAAAAATATTTCATTTTCTTTAATTCAGTGTTATTTAAGTTCTTCACTGTACTGATCACTTGTCATTTTCCTACCTTTAGGAAAATCCCCACATTCTTTACTTTCTTCTTCACAGAAGTGAGAACAGTAGCTGGGCCATCCTGGAGTATAAAGAGGAATTTAGACTTCTAATTTAAACACTTTTACTTTCTAACCTACCAGATACCTAGGCATTATCATAAATCTTAAGAGATTTTAAAATCTTTGGAAAAGAACAAAGTCTTTATTTTCCTAGTCTTTCTTTAGGAAATATAAACTGAGAACTAACATTTAGGCAAGAGTTGATTTGAAATCGAGCTCAGTTACCTAGCTCTGTGATATATGTGCTTTCTCTGTCCCTTTATCTGTATACAGGGATAATGAAAGCATCTACTTTACACAGATAATACAAAGATTCACAAATTAATATATACAGATGCTTAGCTTATAATATGAACACTGAGCTATATCATTGTTAAAATGAATTATGGGCCTGGGGAGGTGGATTAGTTGTAAAAAGAAAGGGCTTGCTGTTGGCACCTGACTTCAGATACCTGGAACCTACATCAAAAGCTGAGTGTGGTCACAAGTGCCTGTAACCCTAGCTCTGAGGGAGACAGGATCGCCAGGGGTTGCCTAGGCAAGAAAATGCAAGCTCCAGGTTCAGGGAGAGACAATGCCCTTTTCTGGCCTTTGCATGTGCACTGGCACACACATGCATACGGTGACACAGTCACATACACAACACGCATACACAAACAAAAATTTAAGAATCAAGTTCCAGTATTGGAATTAATCCCTGATATGAAGTTCAAGTAGGTTGATTTAAATCATTCTATGTACCTGGGCTGGAGTGTTTATTCCTAAATGTACTACACTAGTCTAGGTTATGGACTGCTCCACTTAGCTGCTACTTCAAAGACCAGAAATACCACAGGGCCCACAATACAGAGTTTAAGAGGCAGCACACCTCATCCACAAGTACGGTGTCACCAATAAACAGGGCATATGTTTTCTCTTCTGGTTTTTTCCCTTCTTTGTTAGTCAGGTCTGAGAATCCAAGGTTGATGCTGAAAACCATCCCTAAAACAGTAAAACGGGGATCAGTCTGTGGTTACAAAAGGAGGTGAGGAGTAGGATTTATACAGAAAAGGAGTAAGAAACACTCAAAAAATTTCTTGTTGCATGTATGTAAAATTTACCTTTCTTTAGCTTGTACTGATTTTTACTATTGATTACTAGAGAGCCTTCACGGAATTCAATGCCCATCCCAAACCTGAAAAGAAAGAGAAAAATATAAGCAACAGGCTAAAACACCTGTAAGCATAGCCCAAATGTGATTTCAACTTGCAGATAATATAGGGAAACATGATCTGCCCTTGCTGATCTGTCAAAGACCAAAAAATAAGCTGGGGGACTGGAGAGATGGCTCAGCTAACCGTTAATGGGTTTGGTTCCCAGCACCCACATGGTGGCTATCAACCATCCACAACTTCAGTTTCAGGGGATCTGATGCCCTCTTCTGACCTCCCAAAAATCACTGCATACACATGGTATATACATGCAGGCAAAACACTCACAAATAAAACAAAAATAATAAATATTAACGAATGAGGTGGCTCAGCGGGTAAGGAAGATTCCTCAAGGTACAAAGCACCAACTCACATAATTTGTCCTGTAAACATACACACACACACGCACGCACATGTGCACACACACACAGAAATTTTTAAAAAGAAAAAGAGCTTCATGATTATTTCATAAAACATTTATAAAGACAATATACACAAATAATTTTCACTTATTTACTCAAACTTAACCTATACCATGAAATCCAGTTAGGATTTTTCCTATAATTTAGCAGAGTATTAGGGGATCTATTACCAAGACAGTATTAACAGAACTGAGAGGCAGTTTTCAGAAGCATACAGATAACCACAATAAGACCCGTTATAACCAGAAACTATGTACTAATGAGACTGCCTAGAACTTGCTTCCTTACAAGCTCTTTGTTCTATGACATGTTATTTGACAGTTGCAATTATTTAATGATTAACTACACTTGATAAACACTGGATTAAAATAAAAAATTAATACATTAGGATTAAAAATTAATACATTAGGACATTCTAGAGTATTTAATTTGTAAATTGGTTCATTTGATCCTAAAAAAAAACCTCTTGGTTGGATCCATATTAATGACCTAGAAAAATCCTGTTCACTGGGAAGTGTACCCAACTCTTCCTTTCTCTGATAACACCATTTGATTGGCACATACACGTTAGTCCAAAATACTGATGAAGAAAAGAAAAAAAAAAAAAAAAAAAAAAAAAAAACAAACAAAAACCCCACCCAAAAATATTGGTGAGCCAGGTATGATGGTGCATGACTGTAACCGAGCTCTTGGGAAATAAAGACAAGAGGCTCAAAAGCTTAAGGCCAGGTTGGGCCACAAAGGGAGCCTACAGGCCAGGCCAGCATGAGTTACATGAAACCCTGCCTCAACCAACCAACCAACCAACCAACCAACCCACCCACCCACCCACCACCCCCAAATACTGGTGAAATTAATCAGCTGATCTAAGAGTATGGACTGGGAATCATAAAAATGAACTCAAGAGTGACAATGCACATCACAACGTACCCCAGGTTTTTTGTAACTTTGTTTAGTAGTTCTGGCTTTTGCTTTTTAACCACGTCCATGACAGAGTTATAGACATCACATATCTTCACACCTAAGAGGAAGACAGAAGAGTTAGTACAATAAGTATCTTGCAGAGGAAAACAACCACAACATCATGTAAAGTGTTTCTCCTATTAAATCCCTTACAGCAGCATTTCTCAAAGAGTGAATCGGAGTGTAGAATCTGACAAAAGAGGAAACGGAAATGCGCACTTTAACAAGCTATACAATCATGTTTGGGGTGCTGGAGACCAAAGCTGTTCGTTTTCTTGGCAGTGTGCGGGACTGACCGAAAGGCCTTGCACTTGGTCAGGAAAGTGCTCTACCACTGAAGTACAGCCCCAGGCCCCAAAGTCATTAATTCTCAGAGAATCACTGATCCAGGAGGACTGTGAAACACCAATGTCATATGATTTCCAAACTGTCTTTTCTGAGAAATCTTACCATGTCTTAATTCCTTTAGCAGCTCCTCCTGAAGCTGGAGCAAAAAGTTGTAATTTTCTTGAACTTCCTGAGAAGGGTCAACCATCAAGGTACGAACAAGGTTGGAGCAGTAAGATTTGAAGCGAATACCCATGGCACAAGTAATGGACCCAAAATGCATATGGTTCTTATCACTAGAGACCAAAGGAAGAAAGCATTTGATTACTGAAACTAGCAAAGTATCACAGGCATACAATATCCAGAATCGCTATTTCCTTTGCTATAGTCTCAAACTCTGGCCAAATAGATTTAAGTGCATGTGTGTGTGTGAGACAGGGTTTCACTACGTAGCCCTAGATGTCCTGGAACTCAGGATGTAGACTAGGCTGGCCTCAAACTCCCAGATACCTGCCCAGCTGTGTCTCCAGAGTGCTGGGATTAAAGGCTTGTGTCACCAAACCTGGTAACTATTTTTTTAAATCAAACATACCACTTAAAGGTTCTGGAGTAAAGATTAGTGACCAAAAGTTTTAGGATAAAAATTCAATGACAGGTAAACACTACATTATGAAAATGTAAAAGATCGCTGGGTGTGGTGGCACATGCCTTTAATCCCAGCAGAGGCAGGCAGATCTCTTTGAGTCCAGGCCAGCTGGGGCTACAGGGAGACCTTGTCTCAAAAAGACACCTCTCTCCAAAAAGAAGAATTACCTGACAGCATAGCTGATACCATTTACTTTGTTCATCATATTTTACATTTTACCAGCATTTAAACTTTTTATTCATTTATTTGTATATGTGTCTGTCTGTCCATGTGCGTTCATAGGTGCCCATGGAAGCCAGGAAGAGGCATTTGATCTCTTGAAGCTGGAGTAAAAGGTATTGATGAGCTGCCTGGTGTGAGGCTGGGATCTGAACCCTAGTCCTCACATACAGCAGGAAGTGCTCTTAACTGCTGAGTCATCTCTCTAGCCCCCTTTTAATAATCTGGAAAAATTGCTTATAATCAAACGCTAATGTAAGAAGTAACCATGTGAAATAAACATGTACACAGTAAGAATTTATATAAGGCAGACTGGTTATTTAGTCTCTTTTGAATTTTTGAAAAAGTTTAAGAAAAACGGGCAAAAAGTCAAGATGCTCTGGTTGTTGTACTGACAAGTTTCCGTACTTACCTCACCACACTGAATTTAAGGTTATAGTTGCCGCCACTCTGAATGATCGGAGGATAACACATTTCCACAGTAGAAGGGTCTGCCCCGGCTAGGTATTTTTTCTCTTCGATGGCCTTTTCTACAGACTCGGCCAGTTTGCTATGTCGAACTTTCTAAGAGTACCCAGAAATAAAGTCACTTAATAGAAGGTAGAACACAGAGCTACTGGGTGTTTAGATGCTATCATCTAAAGGAAAAATGCATCCTGATATCCTCTGTAGTGTCTGTACCAGATAACATAAGGACACACACAAAGGAGATTCAGAGCTTTCACAGAATTTAGAGCTATTCCAAGGGCTCTCAGGTAACAGGAGTAAACTCAATAAACCATAGTGCATGTTTATTTATTATGAAGGAGAGACAGCAGAGTTACAACTTTAGTGCTAAAGTTCCAAAGAAGCAAAAACCCTGCTAGTAGCAGAGTAGTGACTTAGCATTGCTCCTTAAAATGCTCAAAGACCCTCCCTGTCTCCATTACCTCATCTGCATCAACTATTTCCATGACTCTTTCCTTGAAGAATTTGTTGAAGACTTCAGAGGTAATGCTGGCTGCTTTCTTCATCAGGTTGAGCTCACCATCCTCTTTCACAGCAATGGTATATGCCACAACGGCACTGATATCTATCTGCAGTCAAAGTGATAGGAGTTTCTCATGTTAATGTACAGAACTGCTCAAGAAACACATCTTGAAAATTATCAGTGATGCTATCTAATTACTGAGTCAACATTATTTGCAGAATTTTCACTCTCCTCTTGAACTGAATAAACACTTAAAAAAAGCTGTATGCTGGGTAGTGGTGGTGCACACCTTTAATTCCAGCACTTGGCAGGCAGAGGCAGGCAGATCTCTGTGAGTTCCAGGCTCACCTGGTCTACAGAGTTCCAGGCCAGCCCGTTCTATAGGGAGACCCTGTGTCAAAGACAAAAAACAAAACCAAACACAAAATAAAAAAGTTTTGTGTGAGGTCTTCTGTGTGTTCTAAGAAACATTAAGCCAATGTACCACTTCAAATGTAAACTTCTTTCTCCAGAGGTGATTGTAAAGGCTGAATGGGGCGGGAAAGAACGAGACAACGATGGGGACGGGACCCAAAAATATTTTTGGACAAGAGATTTTTCTAAATTTAACTCTAAAGTGGTTGGATTATTTATTTCTTAAATGCCTCATTTTCTGATGGAAAATTAAACTGGCTTATTACTTAGCCAAAGGACGTTTTTCTGTCTCCTGTCCTTTCCACCAGAACTCTTACTTTGTCAAAGCCCTCTTTGTTGAGGCAGTCATTCCAGCTCTTCATGAACTCTCCAGGGAACTTGTCTTTGCTGAACACTCCGATTTTCTTGCCATTCTTGCTTTCTTTAATGGCTTCAATCATTTTGTCAAAGCTGCTCTTGTTACTTTCATTCTATCAATGCCCCAGGAAAGGAGATGTTAGTGTTAGAATGAGACTTCTATTTTCTACCTAGTAATAAGCAGAGTAAACTCTAAAGCTCAGAACACGACTTCTCTGCTAAGCACACTACTTCTTTAAGGCAGACTATAGCATACTGAATATTGACAAGAAATTTCTCTGGGTATTTTTACTTAAGTAAAAGTGCCATAAGCTCACAATACTATTACCCATTCTAGGAAACTCAGATACTCAAAGAAAACTTTGGAGCATGACTATGGCTATGTTTACTTAAGGATTTCTAAGTTTATGAGCTCTAATTAAGGTATTTTGATGAAAACAACAGCATCCTTGAAAATGGTCAGATTAAGCTAGTGTTCACTGGAACCCCACAACCATTTGTTTTGCTGCCAAACTAATGGTTACTAAACTCTTCTTCCTACCAATAATGAAGACATGACACAACCTTGTGATTACAACCACAGGCAGCTACAACTTCCTCATGCACTTCAGAAATATTCTAAAGCACCTGTGACCACGTCACGACCGGCTGCTTACCGGCCCTCACCTTTTCTCGTATGAGCAGTGTTATGGCTGGGGCTCCATTAGCATTCTCATTGCCCTTAGTGTTGGCAATCTGTTTCAAAAACTCCACCTTTTTCTTGCTGGCCATAAAGATGATTTTGTCATCACAGAAGACCATAATTGTATCAGTTAGTTCATAACCAAAGAGCCATGTCTATGGAAAAGACAACAGTAGCAACAGTATTTACATATAACAATATTTATTATGGATAAAATGAGATATTTGGGGTAAACTTTAAGTCTGGGGTGGAATAGCTTTGATAGGGATACAAATAAAACAACCTGGGTCAGGAATTGACAATTTATTGGAACCAAATAATTGGTATGTGGGGGTTTGATATATGATTTCATCTTATTTTATATGCTCAAAATATTTCATAGTTAAAAAACATCAAAGCATTTGGACAATTTGTGTTTCTGTATTTTCCTAGCACTGAAGATGGAATACAGGGAGGGTCTTAGGAAGCCAAGCTCCACTACTGAGCTACAGTCTCGATTCCTAGACAACTTGCATTTATGGAAACTACCTATCACTGCTTAGTACATAGTAACACCCTTAGGGAATTAAGCATTCTACCTCTTCAAAGACTGCTGACTACCCATAATACATGTCTTTCTTCTTTCTTAAACAGAGTTGGTATTTTTAATTTGGGCTTAATGCTCAGCAAGACTCTATTTCTGATCCTTTTTCCAGTTAAATGGGGCTATTAGATTATATCTTGGCCAATAAGGAGTAAGTGGATGCACTGTGTGAGATTTCAAGTGGGTCTTTAAAAGAGGAAGGCTGCCTATCTTTCCTTTCTGTATTTTTGTTTAGAATACAGGAACAATGACTGGAGCTCCAGCAGCCACTTTGCATCGTGAGCACAATGGAAGAGCCAAGAGCTAGAAAAGGCCTGGGTTCCTACAAATTATACACATACAAACACTTCATTCAACCCATTGTTATTCAAGGTATTCTGTTACATGCAATTAAATTTATTTTAATTTATACATTCCTTTTTTCCTTAGATTCTAAATCCAATTGAAATTTATGTGATGGTAGAAAGAGTCCACATTTGTTCTTTCTTACAAGCTAGTATTACTAAGTACCCCAAACACAGCCGACAGGACTGAGCAACTGACTTTTTTTTTTTTTTTTTTGTGTGTGTGTTACTAGAGATCAGTTATGGAGCCTCCCAAACCCTAGGCACATTCTCTACTACTCAGCTATTAGACCCAGAAATTGCAAAGTGTTGTACATGTCTTACCTGTAGGGCAGTTGATTTGGCATACACAATCTCCTCATCGACACCCACAGACACCACAATGGCATCAACACTGGCGTACTCATCTTCTCCTTTCTGAAAAGAGAGAGAGTCTGATGACTTCTGTGTGTGTGTGTGCGCGCGCGTGTGTGTGCGCGCTCGTGAAGTCGGGTGTCGGTGCCTTTTATCACTCCCGCTGCCTTGAGACAGGGTCTCTCGCTGAAGCAGAAGTTCCCATTTTGGTTAGGCTGGCGGCCAGCCAACTCCAGGGATCCACCTGTCTCCCCTCCACCCCCACGCTGGGATTCCAATCACATGCAGCTATGACCAGCTTTTAATGTGGGGCTAGGGTGCAGGTGCAGGCTCACTAAGCCATCATCCCAGCAGCACCTATTTTCACATACTAGCAAAAACAGAAAAATTTCAGATTTCAGTATCTGCTCAGGGCATAATTTCCTTAACAGAAATCTGACCTGCAAGCTGACTTGGTAACAACATAGCTATTAACCAACATAGCTATTAACTAACTCCTTGTTTTTTTACACAGCTCTGAAATAAATTCACCTACAATACAATCTACGTTTTCTAGTGACACATTTAGCATATTCAGTTATGCAATCACCACACAAACTTCTGAATATTCTATCTTCCTCCAAAGAAACCTTCACCCGTCAGCAACCGGTTCTCACCCTCTTTGCTCCTCTCCTCTCTTGCCAGCCACTACTGTTCCTACTGATTCAGCTATTTGGGACATTTCATAAAATACTATCATTTAGTATAGATGTGTCTTTGGTTTCTTTCACTTAATATGCAGGGTTCACCGTGTTTCAGTATCAATATTTCTGTGTGTGCGTGCGTGCACGTGTGCAGAGGCCTGAGGTTGATGTTGCGTATCTTTCTCAACTACTCTCAACCTTCTTTGTTGAGATACATTCTCTCATTGATCCTGGAACTCACTGATTTGGCTAGGCTGGCTGGCCACGAGCTCCAGGAAATGTGTCTGTCTGAACGCCCCACGCCCAGCATTGGGATTGCAGGCACAGGTTGCTGCACCTGGCTTCTAACTGGATGTGATCCTTGTGTTCTCAAGCTTGCACAGCAAGCACTTTACTAATGGACCCGCTTTCCCAGCCCCTCAACACCTTCACCACAGGACGCTAACAAGCACCTGTAACTTTAGTTCCAGGGGATATGTCCCTCTTCTGGCCTCAAGGGCAATGCATGACATGGGTGCACTTTCATACATACATGCAGGCAAAAACATTCTACACATAAAGTAAGTATTTAGATTCATTATTAATGTGTGTGTGAGAGAGAATGCATGTACCATGTAGTGCACATGGAAGTCAGAGGACAACTTTCAGGAGTTGGTTCTCTCCTTCCACCGTGGGGTCCAGGAATCAAAATTAGGTCTCTAAGCTTGTGAAGCACTCTTATCTGCTGAGCCATTCTGTCCACCCTATTTCCACTTCTGAGCTATTATGTATAATGCTGTCATGACCAATTATGTATGAGTTTCTGTTTGGATATATTCCTCTTGGAGAGGAACTGCTCAGTTACATGGTAACTCTACCTATAACTTAAAAAATGTATTTATTATTTTATGTGCATGAGTGTTTTGCCTGCATGTATTTATATGTGCAATGCCTGTGGAGGTCACAAGAGGGTGTTGGATTCTCTGGAACTGTTATTTACAGACAGTGGGTGCTGGGAATCAAACCTGGGTCCTCTGAAAGAGCAGCCAGTGCTCTTAATCGCTGAGTCGCCTCACCAGCTCCTCTAAAACTTTTTCAGGAGCCACCAGACTGTTTTCCAGTAACTATACCACTTTATGTTCCTAACTAGAATATCCGAGGGGTTATAATTTCTTGCCATGCTGCACAACACTCGTCCTTATTTTAAAAAGTTTTACTCTGTGCGTGTGTGTGTGTGTGTGTGTGTGTGTGTGTGTGTGTGTGTGTGTATGTGTGCTTGCTTGCTTACGGATACAGACAACTTGCAGGAGTCACTTTTTTAGTTCTACCATGTGGGTCCTGGGGATCAAACTTAGGTTGTCAGGTTTGGTGGCAAGCACCTTTACTCACTGAGTCACCTCACTGACCCACATTACCTTTTTGTTTTGAAAAAATATTTATTTTTATGTGTGTGAGTGTACTGTCTGCATATGTAAATGCACCCATGTTGTACAGTGCCCATGGAGATCAGAGGGTGTCAGATCCTCTGGAACTGAAGTTACAGACAGTTGTTAGCAGCCATCTGGGTGCTGGGAATTGAACCCCAGTCCTCCTGCAAGAGCAGTCAATGCTCTTAACTGCTGTGCTCTCTCTCCAGCTCCACATTATCTTTTTGATAATAAAAAGCCTGTAATTATAAATTACGATCTTGTTCTGATTTGAATTTCCCTGATGGCTGTCTCAGAAAGACCAAAAGAAAAAAAAAAGTTATTTTGTTTTCGAGATAGGGTCTCACTGTGTAGCCCTGGCTGGCCTGAAACTTGCTCTGTAGACCGGGCTGGCCTTAGACTCAGAGATTCACCTGCTTCCGCTGTGTGTGCCACCACACTCAGACAGTTCTTCTCTTTTTAAAGACTGCCATCCTCCTGCCCGCCACCTGAGAACTTAAGAGGCACGTGCCAGCACACCTAGCTTATTCTCTATGCTTGACTGATGCTCATCACACACGGTTTTTCTTATGCAGCCATCCCTTGATGGACAAGCAGGCTGACTCCATGGGAGTGCAGGTATTTCTTTGATAAGACAATTTAATTTCCCTTAGCTATATATACACGGAGGAGGGTTAGCTGGATCATTTGGTAGATTTATTTTTAATCTTAAAAATTTTTTTGATTTAATTTTATATATATGGCTGAGTGCTTGCATTTAAGTGCAACACGTGCATGCAATGCCCACGATGGCCAGAAGAGGGCACTGGGTGCCCTGGAACTGAACCAGGAGCCTCTGCAACAGCAGCCAGTGTGTCTTAATGAGGAAACCATCTCTCCCACCCCGTATCTTTATTCTTCTGAGGAGCTTCAACACCATTCCTCACAATGGCTGCATTAATTTACATTCCCACCAGTGGTATGAAATGTCCTTTCTCTCCCTCCTGTTGCTGGCATTTGTTATTTATTTATTTTTTTGACATTAGCCATTCTAACTGGGATAGGTTGTATCTCACTAGTTTTGATTTGCATTTCCCCAATTAATAAAGTTTTAAAGATGTGCTAAAAGTAAAATCTAATCGAAATACACATATTAAGTTTAAGATAAAATGTTTTGGGTTGGTGTAAAGAGCTTAGCACACAAACATGAGGATCTGAGTTTGATTCCTGCATCTACATAAAAAGATGGGCATGGCGGCACATGTTTGCAATCCTGGCACTGAGAAGGCAGAGACAGGTGGATCCCTGGGACCTAGCCTAATCTGTTCCAGGATAAAATACAGTTTCGAAAAGCAAATGAGGGACACTTGGGGAATATGGGAGAGGACCGCTGGACCCCACAGTCACAGCCACCTACACAGGAGATTCTGACAGGAACACAAAGGCATGCACACAACATGTAAAATACACAGCTTCACTAAGACAAAACTTAGAGAACAGTAGGCAAAGTTATTCTTTTGTTACCATCTCTATCTTTTTAGCTAGCAAATTAAGCAGTGTATTTTAGTATCTTAGAAAAGTTAGTAGATAGTATCTTAGTAGAGTTCTAAAGATAAAACTGGGCTCCTTTGGAATTTTTAACTAGAAAGAGGCCTGGAGTCTTTAAAATCAGGTAGGATGTTAGTATCGGCAATTTCTTTCCAGACAAGGCTTCAATATATAACTCAGATTGGCCTTGAACTCAAGATCCTCCTGCTTCAGCTGCCTGAATGAATGCTGGTATTACTGGCACACATCACCATACCTGGTAATATTGGCAATTTCTTAAATTTCTAGAAATTTCTTATAGCAACAGAAAGCAATAGGCACTAATTTGTTGGTTAGTGTTTTAGAGACAGTATGCATACAGTGATCACTCCTAAGACCAGACTACTATTGGGTTTTAAATCCTGACTCCATTTTTGTGACCTAACATTTTTACACGGTATAATGTTGTCTTGAGAATAATGAGTTAAACATGCTTATAACAGTGTTTAGCTCACAGGAATCACTATATAAAGTATTTACACATTAAAGACTAAAATGACTCTTAACTAGAACCCTTACTGCAAATTATACCACTATTGTCAATGATTTCAAGATCAGCCACCTATATGTAATCAGTACAAAATAAACACAATATAACTGGCCCTCAAAAAGTATACAACCCCAAAGGAAACTTTAGGTGGCACAACTTCAAATACTCAATCACAGAGTAAAAGAGTCATAATTCCTAATTCTCTTTTAATCTTGGTCACATTAAGGATGTGTCTGTCACCAGGCATGGTGGTGCATGCCTTCAGTCCCAGACAGGGGGCTCTCTGTGAGTTCCAGGCCAGTTGGGGCTATAGGGAGATCTAGACTCAAAAAAAAAGAAAAAAGAAAAAAGAAAAAAAAAAAAAAAAAAAAAAAAAAAAAAAAAAGCATCTGCCCTAATATGGGCTACAATTTGTTAACAGAGTTGTACTTATATTTTATAAGCTTTAATTTTTGACAAGTGATATAATTTTGCATTTACAGTTATATACAGTATCATTTAAAAAAATAAAGAGGGGCTGGAGAGATGGTTCAGGGATTAGGATCACTGGCTGCTCTTCCGGAGGACCTGGGTTCAATTCCCAGTACACATAAATGCTTATAAACACCTCTAACTCTTGTTCCAGGGGATCCAATGCTCTCTTCTGGTCTCTGTGGACACTGCTCAGATGGTCCACTTACATATATGCAGGCAATCACACATACACATAAAACAAAAACAAAAAATAAATAAAAAATGTAATTTAGGGGGCTGGAAAGATGGCTCAGTGGTTAATTAAGTACACTGGCTGTTCTTGCAAAAGACCCAGGTTCAAATCCCAGCACCCACATGGCAGCTAAAAACTCTCTGTAACTCCAGGTCCAGGGGATCCAACAGCCTCTTCTGTCCTCTGCAGGGCATTGCATGACACGGGTGCAC